TTTTTTTTTTTTTACTTCAAAAATTAATTATCAAAAACGCTTAAATGGGACATTAGGATTACTTAAGTGTAGACGTGTAACTGTATATATGTAATGCGGTGCAGCTGCGCACAGGTGGGGTGCACCTGCATACGTATGCAAATGCCCATGGGTGCAAAGGGGCTACTCATAAGACACGTAAAGGGACATATACACACACACGGCGTACATAGACATGCGCCTCAACCTGCGCATAAATTCGGCTTACACAAGCGCGCGCAACATATGCAACAGATACGTATGATGATTTGCGCTGGGGCCGGAGAGGGCAACATGTAAAAAAAAAAGAAAGAGAAAAGAAGGAAAGGAGGAAAAAGGAAGAAAAAAAAAAAAAGAAAAATTCATAAAATTTAAACGCAACTACATCGCGCGCAAAACTTGGATGAAAGAAGCAAGAAGGGAAAATGTCGTTTGGACGCAACTCACGTTGGGGTATACATGATGTCACTGTGGCGATGGGGGAAAAATGAAATAAAATAAATCATGCAAGTTGAACGCGCCAGGTGTAGTGGGCAGTGGGGGATACATATAGGTTCGTATATATACATACATATAGAGGTGCATGTACACACACTGCGCATATACACATGTGCGCATATAATTGGGATTCACTTTTAAAAATTTAATTTTAAAACGGCGAGGCAGGCACAGTTGGTGCGCAGAAGGGGAGGAGTGTGGCCTGGTACACACACACGAGCTAGCAGGAGAGAGAGAGCCGCCGATATGCATCCGAGGCGCCCCTAAGCAGACATGATGCATACGGCACATGCACCGCTTCCATTGTGTTGCATCGTTAAGGTAGGTTTTCGCAGTGGCCGGCGGAAGGATCATCCATGCGCATGGGCAAACACATACATGTGGAGGCAAAGACGTCAGAGAGATACGCTTTTTCTCCCCTTCCCCTCCCCCACGCACATAGGACGGTCATATTTTCTTCACCTTGTCTGCAACAACCTTGACGTTATTTTTTATTAACTGCTGCTTGTGATAGTTTTTATAATCAAAGGTGCAGTTATGCGCATCAGCATATCTGTGAAGAGAGCAGAAGTAGTGGTTGCATCTGCACTTAATTCCCAAAAGACCTACGCGCTTGCAACAGAAGAAGCATTTTTCCCTGTCCTCGGGTTTGTTGACTTTGCTACTGCTGCTCTGTTCGTTTGTCGCGTTGGGAGCATCACTAATAGAGCTACTTCCGCTGGTGTTTTGGTTACTACCATTATTTTGATTTTCCTCCGTTTCGACTTTGTTTATGTTTAAGTTGGTGGAGGTAGGCTGTTTCTCCTCAGGTAGGGAGGGCTTTTCATTTTCCATAAAAGTCGGCTTTTCCGCTTCGATCTTTTTATCACTTATATAACTTGGCTCCATTAGGCTATTTATTTTTTTGTAATTATGCAAATTTTCTGTGATATTTTTTTCGTTTATCTTCTCCATGTCGGATATTTCTTTTTTCTTCTTTTCTTGGAACTCTCGGTAACACTTTGAGCACAGGTTGTTGTTCGCGGGGTTCCCGTAGAACCCGCAATTGTTATCGCACAACACGGGGGTTGGCTGCAAGGGTGTGCGTGAGTGAAGAGAGGGATCGTGTGTGGAGGGGAACAGTGACAAAAGGTAGGTAAAATGGGCAAACTTGCGGGAGGGGGTACTCCTCCAATTGCGCATTAGCCGTTGGAACCCTCTTTTCCTAGTGATACGGGCAAGATATGCACAATATGCAGAGAAAGCACAGGAAGCACAACACGCACGGGCACGCCGATTGGGGGACTCCTTACCGTGGTTGCGTTCTTCTCGGAACTCATCTTGACTGGGCTTCCTTAATGAGGAACTATATTTTATACAGGTAAACAGCGACGGGGGAAAATAATCAAAAAATGGTTAAAAAAAAAAGAAGAAAAAAAAAACAATCTCTGCCGTAGCACGGTTCTCCTTTTTACATGCTCATACGGATGAACAAAATGACGGGGAGAAGGGCTGAATAATTTCCTTCCAAACAACTTCGTTGCGCTGTGATGGGCATACAATGTGTAACACCTATGCTGAGTATTTATCTAAATGTGGGTTTCACTCTTCTATTTTCGCACTAACTCAACAATCATGCATGTGCGTGTTGGTATATGTATACATATATAAACTTCGCTTTGTGCATAGGCTGGTTTCTACTATTCAGCTGGCTTTTTCGTTTTGCCTTAACAGTTTGGTTCGTTCATTTTTTTTCCCTTTCGACTGTTTTGAAATTTATATGCGTGTGTAAAAATTGTGAGCTTCATAAATTGTGTACTTCATAAAAATGGAAACCACAGAAGTTGC